CCCGCGCCTTCACCGCCCCCGGTACTCCCAGCACGGAGCCAAAAAAAAAACTCCAAAACTTCCAAAAAGAAGCTGCCCCGCGGCGGCAAAAGGGGGGAACCCAACGGCAGCCACCGACCCCCCCCCCGCCCCCCCCCGGTCCCTTCCCCTCCCTTTTCCCTTCCCTTCCCTTCCCTTCCCGGTACCGACGCTCCTCGCCCGCCGGGCGGCACGACGCCCCGCCGCCTTCCCGAGCCCCCGGCGGTAGCGGAGAGGAGCGGAGAGGAGCGGAGGAGGAGCGGAGCAGCCGGGGCAGAGGCAGCAGCAGCAGCAGCAGCAGGAGCAGCGACAGGCAGCAGAAGTTTTGGAAAACCCTCGGTACTTACCTGGCGGGGCGCGTCCCGGGGAGTCCCGCGCCGGGGGGTGCGAACCATCAGCCAGCGGATTTTTGGGGAGGTTTTGGCGGGGTTTGGTTTTTGTTTGGGTTGTTTTGTTGTTGGGGTTTTTTTTGTTTGTTTGTTTGTTTTATGCATGGTCTTGTTTGGTTGGTTTGTTTTTTTTTTTTTTAAAGAAAGCCCCCCCCAAAAAAAAGCAAAGCGTCCCTTCCTCCAGGTATGTATATAAGTTACTGTACTGTGTGGGAGGGTCACGATCTCACTAGGTGCAGAAGATTCCCCGGGATTAACCCCTCCTCTCCCTTCCCCTTCTGCAACTTGTTGAGGATTTTATACACACACACACACACACACACACACACGGGAGAGCAAGGAGAAAGCGAGCTCCGCGGAGTCCGGCTGCCCCTCGACGCCGTTGTGATTGGATGGTCTTTTCATGGAAGAGGGGACGTCTCAAGTCGAAGTCACGATTTCTCCTCAGTTTGGAACCATCTGTGACTGGAGCCATGACGCAGCCAGAGCACATTACTCACTTTTACAGTCACGACTTGGAAATCCGTGCAGTTTCCAACCAAAATTACACCGCCACCATTGAATTATTTAATAGGATCCAGTTAAGGGTAATCTTATGCATTGTGCCAAGAGAGGCAACGATCTAGGAGGGGAGGGCTGGCAAGGCGAGGGAGGGGGCGAGGAAGGAGGGCATTTCTTGTTTCTAATGACTGTTTTATAGAGATATATTAAGAGTTGCGATGATTGGCTACACGTGTTGTAAGGGGATTTTTTTTTTTTTTCTCCCCCCCCCCCCTCTCCTTTAAAAAAAAAAAAAAAAAAAACCAACACAAAACCAAACAAACAAAACTAGATATCGGGTCCGCTTGTAAATACGACCACGCAAGCTCGGGGAAGGGACGGTTTAGCCATTAAGGGCAGCCGTGGGTGGAGTACCGTGCTGCGAATTCAGGCGCCGGGGTTTGATTTAATTGCGAGCTAAACGAGGTCTTTTGTATGCCTTAGATTAGAGCCATCGCATGCGGGCTTGGCCAGGAGGTGCTCTCAACATCCAAACCCCCCCCTCCTTCCTCAACCCAACCCAACCCTCCCCTCCCAGCCCGGTGTTGCTGTGCTAGACCCTGATGCTCATGGCTGCATCGTGCCATTGTCTGCAGGATCCGCAATTCTTGCTTGGGCTTTGTGTGGTAGGTGCACCATTTTCTAAGCTTGCTTTTTTTTTTTTTTTT